AGTAGAAGTAGTTTTAACGAGATGATCCAGGATTAAAAGAGAAGCATAACATCTCCCATCTTTTATCACAGTTCAAAACAAAACTTTGCATTCTTGTCTTTTCTTTGCTTTATTGTAAACTGAGACAGCGTATGAGCGAAAAACTGTCTGTTATTGTTGTTGTAAGATATTTTCTTGTGGTTAAAATAAATTTAACTTGAACAATTTTCATTCAGTCTTACACAAACATTCATATATATTATAGTCTTACACAAACTTTCATATATATTATAGTCTTACACAAACTTTCATATATATTATAGTCTTACACAAACTTTCATATATATTATAGTCTTACACAAACTTTCATATATATTATAGTCTTACACAAACTTTCATATATATTATAGTCTTACACAAACTTTCATATATATTATAGTCTTACACAAACTTTCATATATATTATAGTCTTACACAAACTTTCATATATATTATAGTCTTACACAAACTTTCATATATATTATAGTCTTACACAAACTTTCATATATATTATAGTCTTACACAAACTTTCATATATATTATAGTCTTACACAAACTTTCATATATATTATCAGCTAGTGTAAAATCTTCGTTGTAGCTTAATCTGCTGTCGAAATTGGTTCTATTTAATTCTATGTTTTGTACTTTTTAAAGTTAAACTCGTACAGGCAAAACCTAAATGAAGTACCGCTCAAAAGTTATGCTTGTTCTATTTCCTGTGCGGCATCTGAAATTTATCGTTTGAAATTGACGTATTCCAGTAGCGTATGTTGTTCGTACATATGTGATATACATTTATGTAAATATGCACACGAACAATGACGAACAAAAGAACGATTAATACAAACTACAATTAAAAAGTGGCGATTTATAAACACGGAAGTATGGAAGGGTCTTCAACTAATTTTATTAAAAATAACGGCTTTTCTTAAATCATCAAATCGTTGAAATTCCGCGCAGTAAAAATTTTACATTCAGTTTATTTCGCATATCAATCGCATGCTTTCATCGTGGTCCTCAAATTTTAGTAATCCTGTTACAAATGTGGACTACCATCAGAAAGCTCAAATTCCAAAATTCCAATTTTCGAATAAATCTTAAGAGACTCCATTATTTGGCTTACCTTATAAGTGGTGTATATCAAGTTCCGTCAATTGGGGCCAGCGACAAAAATCAAATGGTGTAACCAAATTTTTTTACTGCTTAAAATCACACCGAATATTTTAAGTGGATGCGAATGTGTACTCGTGAATTTAGTAGAAATATTTTTCAATGTACTTTGGGTTTGGATGGATTTTTGAAATGAGCATCCTCAAATGTGCTTTGTTCTTATGTCGTAAATGTTCACCTGTACACCCCTTCTATATTACGTGTTTTACACCATTTCCGAGCAGGCGATTGTGTCTGTGTATTAAGTTTCCATTGCGAAAGGTATACCACTTTGTCTGTGAACAACTGTACCCTTCTGTCACTAGTTTCTTTTTCATCAGCATTTTTTTCTTTTCGCTGGCTGACCTGCAGTTACCTACTTTAATTTAATTTTTAACAAATATTCCAGTCAACGAAATTCTTTAAATGTTTTAGTAGTGTTCTTCCAAAAAGTAAATCATGCTTAATTTT